TCCCAAAGCGCTAAGTTGTAGAAACCGCTTAGGGAAGGAAGTGAAACCAAGCGCCTGAATCGGTATCTGGAGATAAATGAGGGTCCCCGTTCCGACACCCTCTGCTCTTTTCCCCTATCCTAGTCTACAAATGCTAAAAGCCTCCACCCGAGTCACGAAATCTCACAAAGTCCCCGCATGCAGCTTAAAGAAAAGCGGACTCTATCGAGCTCGGGACGAGGAAGGTGAGCAGGTCTAGCCAGAGTCCGGAACTGAGGGTCTGGCCACCGGCTGTCCTCGGTTACCTTGGAAGGCGAGGCCGCGGGGCTCCGGCTCGGCGGACTGCGCGGGCCCAGCCACGGTCCCCAAAGACGGTCCAAGAAGGCGGGCAGAGGCTCCGACATGGCCAGGACAGTGCGGCCGGCCGCAGGTGCTCAGGCCTGGCCGGGACCGGGCAGCCGTCAGGCCTCACCGCTCCGCGCCCCTTCCCTGCAGGCTCGGCGCCGCGCCCGCCGTTGGAGTCCCGCCACGCGCACCGAGTCCCCGTGGGAGACGGCTGCACAGACCGCCGCGCACTCACCATTGTCACCGCCGCCGGGTCCCCCACTTCACTTGGCTTTTCCTCGGGAGAACTCCCAGCCCGGCTGCCTGCGCCCCGCCGCACGTCACGTGACCGTAGGCCACCAGCCGCACGTGACCACTCTTTCCCTCTCCACCCTCCTCCACTCTGACCACGCCCACTAAAGACACGCCCTTCGGAAAGGCCGTTTGGAGGCGGGGTTTCTTTGCTCCGCCCTTCATGTGAGAGGCGTGGTCGCTGTGGGTGACGTCAGGTGGGAGGGGTCGAAGCGCGGTCTCCCAGTCCCCCAAAACCTAGAGCTGTCACATGATGAGCAGTGCGCCCTGGAACTCCTACCCCGCACACGCGTTTCCTCCACCCCAGGGAAGTTTGGGGGGCTCGGAAGGAAGCGCGGGTTTTTTGGAGACGAAATTCTTACAGGCTTGCGTTTCCAACTTTCGCACCTTCTCTCATCTGAAGTGGTTTCCCACCTCACCCCCGAGATCAATAGGGAGAAAAACTAATCTTAGAGCCCGTCCTCTGCAGTCCAGACTCGCGACCCATCCGTCCAAGAACCAGAGGCTGGGCTCATAAACGGGTCCCGCCCTCTTCCCTCGTTACAGCCCTTCCTGAAAGTTCCGGGAGAGTGCAAAGAAACGTGACCCCATCGTTGTAGTGCGGGCCTAGAAGAGCTGAGGGTGGAGGAAATACCACGAAGGCCCCCCGAGCTGAACCTGTGCTCGAATTCGGTAGAGGGGGAACGTCTTCCCGTCACAACAAAACTCAGCGTGGGAAGCAGTGCAAGTCTAAAATGTTTAAAGGTTGATATGAGATTTTGGTCTCTAATAGCGACAAAATTCAAATGCTGGAAATTAGCTCCCCCGCCCCCCAAAGACAGTGTCTCATGTAGTGTATGATGGCCTCAAGTGGAGCTTAAATCCTGCTTGGTCCTTCCTCCACTTCCAAAGTGCTTCCCAAAGCTGGGATTGCAGCAGTCATGTCCAACGGTTTTATGCACTGCTGCAAATGGAACCCTGGGCTTCCTGCACGTTTAGAGAGAGAAACTGTATTATTTGAGAACAAGATTTAAAGATTTCTATGCGACAGGGTTTCATTGTCTGGAACACTCTATGTAGCCCAGGCTGTCAAGAAACACATCCGTCCTGCCTTCAACCTTCTCAGTACTGGGGGTTACCTGCCAGTGTTGCCACTCACTGGCCAGATTTACAAAAAGGTAAAATAGTATGGAGACAGAAAAGGAGTTTATAGCTGAAAATAGTCTTGATTAAAAACCTGTGACTCTGGCAGTGGGTGGTGCATGCCTTTATTCAGAGGCACTTGGGAGGCAGAGGCAGGCTGATTTCTCACTTTGAGGTCAGCCTGGTCTACATAGTGAATTCCAGGATAGCCAGGGCTACACAGAGAAACCTTACAGGATGGGGGGTGGACACTGGATGGGACAGTGAATCAGATTTCTTGGACAAAAGAGCATCAGCCACTCTGTAGGGAAGGAAAAAGACAGGCAGAGTGGTTCATAGCAGTAATCCCAGAGTTCTGGGACCCTGTTACTTTTGAGACACTGTTACAAAGAAACAAAAGAGAACAACAATTGCACACAGTCTGAGAGCTTAGCTGCGTTCACATGGTTCTAATACCCTTTGTTCAAAAACTTTCCCCTCTAAATTGCTGTGGTATGCTTGTTCAGCATAGCTATTAATAGGGTGGAAAGATGGTTCAGCTAAATGAAGAGCACTTGCTTGCTACTCCTCCAGAGGATGAGATTTAATTCCCAGGATCCAGATAGTGGCTCCCAACGAGGGGGATAGGATGCCCTCTGCTGACCTCCATTGTTACCATCCTATATGTTGTGCACAGACATTCAACAAAACAACCATCTACATAAAATGGTTTGGGGATTTTTTTAATCAATTGACTACAGAATACTGGATCTCTTTCTACACTGTTTGTTTGTTTGTTTGTTTGTTTGTTTGAGACAGGGTTTCTCTGTGAAACAGTCCTGCTTGTCCTGGAACTCACTTTGTAGACCAGGTTGTCTTCTAACTCAGAGATTCACCTGCCTCTGTCTCCCAAGTGCTGGGATTAAAGGCATCTACCTCCTACCCAATATTTCTTAAAGAATTTTTACATCAACGAGTTGAATGGTTATGCTACTAATGTCTTATTTTCTACAGGCTACCTGTCATGTTTTGTTTTATTAACAGGGTTACACTTTGTAGGCCTGTTTGCCTGAGAACTCACTATGGAGGCCAGAATTGACTCACCTGCCTCCCCTTAGGAAGAGTAGGGATTAGAGACCTTTGCCACAATTTCTGGTTTCCATAAAATGCGGATGAGCCATGCAATAGGTAATGAATTTAAAGATAGCAATGCTACCAACGAGACATAAGCCACTAAGTGATCATCAATTCCACAAAGCAACTCTAAAGAGGGAAAGACTACTCCCAGGTGATTATTTGGAAATATTTGGGAGTATTTACCCTGACATCTCTGAAAACAATTATTGGGTAATGTGGAGAGGAGTTGGGGACATAGCTAAACATTCCACAATAAACAGAACATCCCCCTGCAACAGAGAAGTGCTGTCCAGAGATTTGGAGTATAGCTTCGTGGCAGAGACTTAGGTTCCATCACCAATTCAGCCAGAAGAGAAGGAGAAAGAGGAGAAGAAAACAAAGAAATTCTTCAGAAAGTGCCAAAAATGACAAGAATAAGAAATCCTGGTTTAGCATAGAAGGCAGAATACCCAAAGATATAAATATATTAGTATTTCAAACAGTGATTGAAATACTAAGACAAGTTGGGCAGTGGTGGCGTAGGCCTTTGATCCCAGCACTTGGGAGACAGAGGCAGGTGAATTTCTGTGAGTTCGAAGCTAGTCTGGTCTACAGAACGAGTTCCAGGATAGGCTTCAAAGCTACAAAGTGAAAACCCTATGTTGGAAAAAAAATTAATAAAACAACAGCAACAAACAGCTTCACCCCCTCATCTCTGCCGTATTCGCATTACATTTGTAATTATTATCGATTTTGGAAAAAAATTGCCTAATAAAAATGTATTACAATTATGTGTTTCTACCATTATATTGTGAATGCTCTTAAATATTCCTAATGTTTTGGTCCTTGACTAAAAAGAGTACAATATCAAGAGGAACCTCCATCGACACCTGAGTGTCCTCTATCCTTTCTCAGCTATGCAGCAGCCCATCCGTGATTAACTCCACTACTCCCAAGGTGAGTCCTATGTTTGGCTCTCATCCCTAGACATCCATAGATTAAAATGCCATGCTTATAGTTCAGTGGGACTCTCACACTGTACCCTAGTGGGAATAGTTCCCCAGGAACAGAGCATCTGTTCTCTTTCCTTCCTGTTGCTGTGATAAAAGATTCTGACCGAAAGTAACTTAGAGGAGGAAAGGGTCTGCTGGGCTTACACTTCCAGGTCACAGGTCATCACTGAGAGAATTCAGGGCAGGAACTCAAGGCTGGAGTTTGAAGCAGAAACCATGAAGGATTGCTGACTCTCTGGCAAGCTAGCTTTCTGACAGCCCAGGACCACCTGCCAAGGAATGGTGCCACCCACAGTGGGCTGGACCTTCCTGTGTCAATTATCACGACAGTCAATCCCCATAGGCCATTCTGATCTGGGCGATTTCTCAATGGGGACTGTCTTCTTAGATGGCCCTAAAAGCTTCTTCAGACTGAAGGTTAAAGCTAACCAAGGAAAGACCTGTGTATGAAAAGCCGGTTCAGGAATGGATAGCACAAATGCAAATGAATCTCTAACTTCTGCTTCTTCCTTCCTAGACCTGTGAATTCTGCCTCTTAAGGACAAGGAATCACACAGAGATATTAAATTTATTTTGGGGGTATGTTTTTTGTTTTTTTGTTTTTTTAATGTGCATTCCTGGTGTCCATGAAAACCAGAAAGTGACATCAGCTCTCTTGTGTGAGCTGCCCTCCGAGTTATGGGAACTAAACCTGGGTTCATTGCAAGAGCACAAAGTGCTCTTAACCACCAAGCCATCTCTCCTGCCCAATGATATTTTCTCACTCTCTCTCTCTCTCTCTCTCTTTCTCTCTCTTTCTACACACACACACACACACACACACACACACACAGAGAGAGAGAGAGAGAGAGAGAGAGAGAGAGAAACATTTTTTAAAAAAAAAATCATTTTAAAAGTACTTATTTCCTGGAGGAGAAAAAGAAACCCCCGGACAGCTTCCCCCCTTAGCCCCTTAGGTTATATCTTTGCTTTAGTGTAGTGACATTTGAAATTAAACAGGCATCTATGGCAAAGGCCAAGCACAGAGAGCACACACTGTGGTACTGGAGGCGTTAAGTTTCTAACTGCACAACCCACAGCAATTTTAGATAAACAACATTCACTGCTTCTCCATCACATCCACAGCACAACAGAAACCAGGTCACATAGCCACTGTAGGAGGTCACTCTTTCGTTTTTATTTTATTTTAAATCATAAAAAGGAGTATTTCTGTAACTCACAATGTGAGTCGCATTCCTAACACTTTAGGTATGAAATATTATTGTTCATCAATTTGCTATTCAAATTGAATTTTTCAAAAACAGCATGGCTTGTAAAAGTTGTCGCATAATAATGGGGGTGTGAGTTAATTTCATAATGTTGATCCAATACACATATAAGCGCAGATCTTTTCTAGAGCAATAACAGCATTAAAGTCTAACTCCTTAAGAACTCAGGAGGAAAGACTCTTTTCCAGGTATTTTAAATTTTCTGTGAAGCTCTTTATCCCAAGACTGATCATTGAAACGTGGAACACCAAGTACAGAGACCTTGTTCTGTGCGGAGGTGGGGAAGCAGAAATGAACACTTTCATATAATAAAATCTTCTGGTTGCTCTTGGTTTTGCTCGTGGAGCATCCTGTCTAAAGGCCTATAGTTGTAATAGAAAGCGTCGCTTTCATCTGCGGGCTGGTATTCCCACTCCATGTCGCCTAGGAAGCCACTTCCTGAGCCAGAACCTGAACCAGCGCCGGAGCCAGAACCGGAGCCAGAGCCCGATCCGGAGCCAGAGCCCGACCCAGAAACGTCTTCAGAAATAGGGAAGAAATTATCCGGAAATCCTCTCGTCCTGAAATACAAAGAAAAAATATAAAATTATACTTATAAATAATGTAATTTTAATATTTTAACATAAAGAAATAAACTGGGCACGGAGCAACACAGATGGCTGCAGCTTTTTGGGCAGTGGAGGCTGCAGGATCCGAAGTTTAAAGTCATCCTTGGATCCCTGGTGAACTGCAGCCAGCATGGGCTACCTGACCCCTTCTTCCAAAAACAAAAATGGGGTCTGGGTAAGGAGCATAGCGGGGAGTGGAGGCAGAACATGGAAATCAATTTAGGCACTCAGTTGTTCAAATTCAAGGAGTTAAAACTGTCTTCAGTGCTTCAAAACAAAAGGCCAGGGCTGAAGAGACAACTCTGAGGTTAAGAGCAATGGCTGCTCTTGCCGGGGATCTGGGTTCAGTTCCCAGCATCCACATTGAGGCTCACAACCACCTATAACTCCAGTTTCAGAGAATCTGACACCTTCATCCAGCCTTCTCCAGCACCAGGCGGGCGTGTGGTTCCTGCACATACGTGCAAACACTCATACACATAACACATATATGCAGACTAACACTCACAAACATTAAATGAAAATAGATAAATTTTGGGTCAGAGAGATGGCTCAGCAGTTAAGAGCGCTGGCTGCTCTTCCAGAGGTCCTGAGTTCAATTCCCAGAAACCACATGGTGGCTCACAACCACCTGTAATGAGGTCTGGTGCCCTCTTCTGGCCTGCAGGCATACATGCAAGCAGAACACTGTATGCATAATCAATAAGTAAATCTTTTAAAAATAGATAAATTTTTACTAGAAAAACAATAAACTAAGCCCTCCATCTCCATGTTTGCTTACATATATATATGTATATATATATGTATATATATATATATATATATTAACTCATTGCAGCCCTTGCCTCCATATCATATGTACCCAAGGCAGACTCAGGTAAACAGTGTTCATATCACTAACTACAGAAATCCTGTGTGTTTTATTTTCTTAAGCACTATTTACTTTTGTTTTCCAAGACAGGGTTTCTCTCTAGCTTTGGAACCTGTCCTGGAATTAGCTCTTGTAAATCAGGCTGGCCTCGAACTCACAGAGATCCACCTGCCTCTGCCTCTTGAGTGCTGGGATTAAAGGTGTGTGCCACCACTGCCCAGCTACATCATTTACTTTTTAAAAACAATAAAAACTCTTGATTATTTATTCTTAAAGAAAGGGCACACCACTAAATCATTCTAGACAGATGACACTGTTTCCTAACTTAAGCATTTGACAAAACTTCTATTACTTCTAAACTCACAACCTGCTAAAACAAAGAGCACTCTTCCTTTGTTCTCTTGAGATGTGTAGACTGTCATTATGAAGACCAAGTTGGTTCCAGGCTCTTGACTCCCTTGCCTCCACCTCCTAGGTTCTAGGTTTACATGTGTGTACCTATGTAATTAGCTCGAGACGTTCTTTGTAAAAGTTTTTTTTTTCTTTTGAGACAGAGTCTCATTTCTATATCCCAGACTGGCCTCGAACTCACTATGCAGATCAGACTGGCCTAAAACTCATAGAGATTCACCTGCCTCTGCCTCCTGAGTGCTGGGATTAAAGGTGGGAGCCACCACATCTGGAAGAGGGTATTAACCTTACCAGAATATAAGCGTTAGATTTTTCTCTACTCATATAAGACTTGAATATATACTCTTGAGCTAAAGCAGGAAGCCACCAAGGCTGAGTTAAGTGGGTTGGTTTGACACAGTCTAAAGAGCACCTAAAAGCCAGAGCAGAGAAACGGTGCCACCCGTCCTTGGAAAAGCAGTAACAAAGCATCTTTGGCAAAAGTTGAGTTCAAGCCCAGAATGGTGGCACAAACTAGTAGGAGAAAGAGACAAGGGGGTGACCACAAATTTGTGGCTAACCTGGTCTACATACCAAGACCCTGTCTCAAGGGTGGAGGGGGGTGTGTTTGAATGTTATAGCCCGAGGGTCATTTTCTCCAGAAAAATCACAAGTGAGATTGATTTATAGCAGTCACGCATGCTAAAAAAAATTATTTGTTGACCTGTCCTCACTGCTTGAGATACAACAGGGAAAGAAAGGGGAGGTCTCTGCTCTAGAAGTTAACACTCTAGCAAATACGTCAGTCAGGAAGATGGCAGGGAAGGCAGAAGCGGGAAGCAAATGTCATCTAAGGTGCCCAGGACGCTGATTCAGCCCGTCAGATCACAGAAAGCTGGATGCAGACATCGCAGTTACTGACATACAGATGGGATAGAAAGCTGTGGAACAGGCAGAGGTCACCTTGAGGAAACACTAAGGCCTGTGACAGAGCCAGGACAGACCATGTTTAAAATAAGCCAAAGAGAACACAGCTACAGAAACCCAACAGCCGGGAGAAGGTGGATGGTAGAAGCCCACAAAAAGGGGCTTTCCATGGAAGTGGTGAGTCAATCATTTTAAAAGGCAGTGAAGTGGTCAAGTAACCTAAACACAGAGACACAATCAGTAGATGTGTCTCAATCACCAAATACTCTGGATTGATGTATCAAGAAGCAGGAGTCCAACTGTATGTGTCAGGAGAAGGGACAAGCAAGCATAGGCGCCCATTCTAGGAAGGGCTGATGTGCCAAGTATGGTGGCGCACACCTTTAATCCCAGCATCTGAGAGGAAGAGGCAGGTAGATCTCTGATTTCAAGGCCAGCCTCGTCTACAGAGCGAGTTTCCGGTCAGACATTCCCATATAGCGATATGAGACCCAGTCTCAGAAAGCAATTTTGAGATAATAAAGAGCGGAGTGGGGAAACAGCTGTAAAGGTGCAGAGCTGGGGGTGGTCCATCCGATGTCAGGAAGCTCTAGACTATGTCTGCGTACTGATGGGAGAAGATGCTGGATCCAGAGAGGCAACCGCAGAATAGAAGTCTGAGACAAGGTGGTGGGTATAGGGTACAGGGAAACTGAATATTTAACCCAAGGGGAGCTGCTTGAACATGGAGTAGTAGGGAAGTGGAACCAACAAGAGACAGCAAAGGAACCAGAGATGACCAACTGGCATCTTCCCACACTAGCCAGCGAGATGGCTCATCACCTAAAGGTGCCTGCCATCAAGCCTGATGACGTAACTTCAATCCCCTAGACAACAACTCACTCCTGTAAAACGTCCTCCAACTACCACACATTCCGCAAAGCAGGTTCATGCAGGCAAGCACACGCGCACACAAATGAAATACAAAAGTAAGCGGCTCCTCAACCGTAGAAGATGACAGCGCCACCACGGCCGGACCCTGAAGACAAACACTCCACCACTTCTGTGAGATCAGACTCAAGTCCACTTACAGAATAGGATTGCTCATTGGAGGGCCAACGTCGTCGGATCCATCTGCGACTAGGTCAAACAGGGGTCCCTTCTCCTCCACGCAGTTTGCAGAGATGCTGTCGGGATTGCAGCGTACCCACTGGTACCTGGCCCTCCGAGCAGGATAACCTGTCCGAACAAGGAAATTACAAGGTGGTAAGTACCTCTCATATTAGAATGATCACACTCTGTCTCTAACAAGTTAAATGGATTCTTTCCCTCTTTTTCCCCTTCAAAACAGTGTGTCTCTCTATATCCCCGACTGTCCTGGAAATCACTCTGTAAATCAGGCTGGCCTCAAACTCAGAGATCCTCCTGCCTCTGCCTCCCAAGTACACGTGCACCACCACCGCCTGACTAATTTAAATTATTTTTATTTTTATTTATTTATTTATTTTGGTTTTTTGAGACAGGTTTCTCTGTGTAACAGCTCTAGCTGTCCTGAAACTAGCTCTTGTAGACCAGGCTGGCCTTGAACTCACAGAGATCCGCCTGCCTCTGCGTCCCAACTAGCCTCAAATGTTTGGACTGTAGGTGTACACCACCTTTGAAAGCCATGAGATACACGCTTTGTGATGTGCGTTAATGAGGCTGGAGTGGCCCATCGTCTCCCCACCCACGGACAGGCTTTATGCACACCAGTGCAGCTCATAGTCACCTGGCAAAGAGGAGCATGCCTAGAACTCTCTCGCCAAGGAGGGGAAGTAGTTTGACAACTCAGGATGGAAGAGGAGGAAACATTTCAGAGAAATGGCAAGGTGGCCACTTGTCACAGGATATGGATCAAAGGGTAATGAACGTTCTGGAAGAAAGAACTGACAGCACAGGAAACCCATAATTATGAATGAGTTTGCTGGGAGTATAGCTCAGAACATGTGCTTAGTGAACGCCAAACTCTGGGTTCTCTCCAGCCCCCCACAGTATCTCCAATTAATTTCTTTTAATTGTATGAGTGTGTGCCCTCTATAAGAGCAACAGGTACTTTTAACTGATGAGCCATCTCTCCAGCTCAGGTCTCAAAAAAATTTTTTTAAAGATCTGCTTATTTCAAAAAAAAGAGACTTGTTTTAATATAACACACACACACACACACACAGAGTCCTGCCTGCATGCCAGAAGAGGGCACAGGATCTCACTACAGATGGCTGTGAGCCACAATGTGGGAGCTGGATATTGAACTCAGGACCTCTGAAAGAGTAGCCAGTGCTCTAAAGCTCTGAGCCATCTCTCCAGTCCCTTAAAACTTTAAGTAGTCCCTTGAAACTATAAAAATGAAGGGCTGGGCGGTGGTGGCACACACCTTTAATTTCAGTACTCAGGAGGCAGAGGCAGGAGGATCTCTGTGAGTTCGAGGCCAGCCTGGTCTACAAGAGCTAGTTCTAGGACAGGCTCCAAAGCTACAGAGAAACCCTGTCTCGAAAAACAAAACAAAATAAATAAACAAAAGAGCGAAGGAGAAACGAGAAAGTGCAGCACGCCTTTGCCCACACATCGATTCAACACCAACAACTAAATATCGGGAGAGTGGGAGAAAATACATACAAAGGATTATGTTAGTAGAATCTGGCAAATTTCAAACTGCATTTTCTAAACTGCTGTAATAAACAACAATCCTCTGTGACATAAAAAACATTTAAAAGATTCTAACATAGAGATGGAGAGGTGGCTCAGGGGCTAAGTCCTTACGGCTATTGCAGAGGATCCTAGGTTCAGTTCCCAAAACCCATAGGTTGCGCCCAACCTCTACTAACTACCGTTGAAGGGGATCTGATGCCCTCTTGTGGCCTCGCAGGCATCGGGCATGCACATTGTGCAAACTTAGGCTAAAACCTCATAAATAAATAAATAAATAAATAAATAAATAAATAAATAAATAAAACAAAACACCATGAAATCATGTTTTAAAAAAAAAGAAAAGATAGGTTCCTGGGATGTTACCAGCACTGTGGTCACAGCTCTCCAAATGTTGGACACCTGGATGAGGGCACAGCCTCAGTCCCTTTCTGAGAGTAGACAGCTTGGAGGGAGACCCTGTCTCCACTTAGAACCGCTCCCAGTCTCAGTTTACCGTACTTCAAATGTGATACAGTAATGAGCTCCTAATTCAAACGAGAAGAAAGTCTGTAAAGCCAACTAACACAAGCTTTGGCATACGACCCATGTTCAATGCATTTTAATCCTTTTTTCTCCTGAACCTCTTGATTTTTCTCTGAGCTAGCAGTGTCTTGTGTCTGCAGAGGGAAAAATGCAGCCTGTTGTCCAGCAGAGGGCAATGTCTTCCCGCCTCAGCTGCCTTAGGCTAGCCTCTCCAATAAAAACATAGCATCAGCTCCTTCTGAGGGTGAATGTTTCAGAAATATCGTTTCTCTTTTTGGTTTCTTTTCTTCTATAGCAGCCATAATTTTTGAGTTAAAAAAAACCGTAAAAACCAAGTACATGTTGGTTGAACATATTAAAATATTATCATTTAACAGAATCAACATAAAGGATAGAAGTAGGATAATTTATTCTGTTTTAAACCAACTCTTCTATGTTGTGCGTATTTTGAGGTCACATATTAATGTAGACTCTGCATAGTTCAAGTCTTCTGAAGTGACAGGGAGCTGCTGGCTACTGGATGGGAAAGGCAGTCCCCTCTGCCAGTGGCTGATGCCCTATCAAGTGGAGAAAATGTGAGCTTGAGGAAGTTCTACTGCAAAGCTAACTGAAGGTTTTTACTTCCCTTTCAGGGCTGAGATCAAACCCAGGGCCTCTGGCATCCTCTGCAAGTGCCCTACCACTGAGCGGCACCCCAGTCAGCAACATCTTTCCGTTATCGGAAACAAAACAAAAACTATAACTTTGGCAGAAGAGCAAAACAAGTCTCTGAACTGGAAAGATCCCTCCCAGAGTTCAGAATACTTAGGAATCAGGAAGGCTTTCTAAAAGCTGACGCTAATAGTTACACAATCTGTAGCCACACTAAAAAAAACACATAGTGTATGTTGGGGAACGGGCTATATAGTGTAGAAAGGGCATCTTACTAGAATTGCTTCAGGATTAATGAAAGGTAATGAAGGTAGCTCAGCTGGTAGAATTCTTGCCTGATATGCACTAAGCCCTGGGTAGCTCCCCCAGTCCTGCACAGAACAGATATGGTGGTGTAGATCTGGAATCCTAGCACTCAGGAAGAGTGGAAAGATGGCCACATGTTCAAGGCCAGTCTGGTCTACAAACCAGGTTCAAAGTTAGCCAGGGATATGTGATGTGGTTCTGTCTGAAGAAAACAAACAACAAATAAAGGACAGGGTGGAGGCTCAGCTACAAAAGGGCGCCCGAGTTTTATCCTAAGAACCTACACGTGACGCCTGGCTGTACACACACTTTTAATCCCAGCAATGAGGAGGCAGAAAAAGGGAAATCCCTGGGCTCACTGGCCAGCCAGTCTAACCTGATCAGTGAGCTCCAGGCCAATGAAAGACCCCGCCTCAAAGGAAATAGACAGTGTTCCTGAGGATGACATTGAAGTTGTCACACGGCCTCCATGTAGATGTGCATGCTCACACAAGTATGCACACACACACACACACACACACACACACACTCATAAGTAAACAAATAAGGAAATCAAAAGTAGAAATCGTCCCATTCTGAAATCCACCCAGTTTTTACTCTAATGAAATTAAAGGTCCATTAAAATAAAGAACAGTCACAGATAAGGAATTCCTGACGGAGCTGTTCAGGGTGTGGGAGGCTGTGAAGACACAAGGATCTGGCTCCCGAAGTTCCAAGAGTATCTGGACTTTATCTTGCTGGAGAGACTGCAAATCTCTAATGATTATCACTATTGGTTTGGTTTTGTTTTATTATACAGAATGTTTGCTTCCCCATCCCAGGGAGCAAAATCAGCTCCTCAGGTTTGGTGACCATGGTCTTTACTCGTTGGGCCACCTTGACAGCCATTTTAAAAACTTTTTTACTAAAATTTTTCTTTCTTACAACTTATTTTGATCATATTCTTTTCTCCTCCCCACCTCCTTCCCCACCCAACTTCATGTGCGCTCTCTCTCTCTCTTGACATGGTCTTTCTATCTAGCCTTGGCTGGCCTGGAACTCACTACGTAGTTCAGGATGACCTCAAAATTATAAATATCTACTTGCTTCTGTTCCCCCAAAATTCTCAGAACAATGGTGTGGGTCACCATGCCTGGTCACTTTAGCTTTTGAGACAGAATCTCCCTTTATAGCCCAGGATAGACAAGGCCTTGCAATCCTGGCTCAGCTTCCAGAGTTCTGGGATTATAAGGATGTTCTACTGTATGTGATAACCATAGCTTTCCAGATGAAAGGGAGGCCTTTCATTTCTTCCTCAAAGGCCCCACTCACAGTGGGCCTGCTGCTTGACACACAGTGCAGTCTAAGGGAGACACTCTTTCCTGCCTGCCTTCACACCCTCTGCACTCACTCTCACTAGCTCTGCTAATAGTTCTCACAAGATAGTTCTTGTGAGGAGACAAGCAGGGCAACAGCTCTCTCAAACAGGCCTCCTATCTCTTCATGACCTGCCTACCACACCTCCCACCAGACGACAATTTACTATTTTCTTTTTTCTTTCTTCCTTCCTTTCTTTCTTTCTTTCTTCTTTCTTTCTTTCTTTCTTTCTTTCTTTCTTTCTTTCTTTCTTTCTTCCTTCCTTTCTTCCTTCCTTTCCTCCTTTCTTTCCTTCCTTCTTTCTTTCTTTCTTTTTTTCTGTCTGTCTGTCTGTCTGTCTGTCTGTCTTGTTTTTTGAGGCAGGGTTCTCTCTGTAGACCTAACTGTCCTGGAACTTGCTCTGTAGACCAGCCTGGCCTCGTACTCACAGAGATCCGCCTGCCTCTCGCTCCCAAGTGCTGGGATTAAAGGTGTGCACCACCACTGCCAGGCTGCAATTTCTTATTCTCAATGAAAACTTGCTATGGAAGCAAGAGAAGAACTTAAGCAGAAACTGTCCAAAGGGGAGGTCAAAAACTGTCTAAAAAAGTCACTATTCTGGTTCATTACATAAATAAATAAATAATAGTAGTCAGGCAGTGGCGCACACTTTTAATCCCAGCACTCAGGAGGCAGAGGCAGGCAAATCCCTGTGAGTTCAAGGCCAGCCTGGTCTATAAGAGCTAGTTCCAGGACCGCGAGGATGTTACATAGAGAAACCCTGTCTCAACAAAACAAAACAAACAAAACAAAACGGTAGCATTTAGGCAACTGCTACTATCTGCACTGGAGCTACTTCCTGTCGTCCTATCAACTACTCAAGAAGAGCAAGCTTCCCCCTCTCTGGCACTATTTGACAGGCTATAAAAAGCGCCAAGCTTACTTTCAGTTCACCCTCCCCTCTGCAGGAAACAGCAGAGGCTTTAGTGAAAGGAAAGGTTTTGTTTTAAATAAAGAATGGGAGGGAGAGACTTCATAGTCTGATCTTGGAGTACTGGCTGATCTTGCAGAGGACCTGGGTTCAATTCCCAGCACCTACACAGTGGTTCATAACTGCCCATTTCTCGGGGGGTCCTGACACCCTCTTCTGGCCTTCCTGGGCACCAGGCACGCACCTGGTGCACAGACATATATACAGGAAAATCCCCCTTACGCATATATAAAATACTAAAAAAAATTTAAAGAATATGTCTGATCCTCGAGTTGTCTAGAAGCTTAATTCTAACCTTGAAACTGATATCTGAGCTCACTGTAACAGACCTTGGGAAAACTCACACATATTTGTCAAGGGGCTGACGTAAGGAGCATGGGAGGCAGCCGCTGTCAGGTCCACTCCGTTCTTCTGCTCTCACGTGAATGTGACGATCGTTATTGGGCAGTGATTGTGAAATCACTTTCCCAGCAGCTGTGCCCACAAGTGGACACGAGAATTGTTACTGTGAGTGTCCAAGATCTAGCCCGAGCCCCTGGCCACGCCTGCTCAGGTTTCATTTTGTCTCTCTGTGAGCATTCTGTTTTAAGACAGGGTCTCGTGTAACCCAGTGCTCGGTACATAGCTGAGGATGACCTTTCAACTCCTGATCCTCTTGCCTCCATCTCCTGAGTGTTTATGGGCATTAAAAACAAAACAAAACAAAGGTAGGAGTCACCAGCTTCATTAATGAAGCCCTGGAAATGACATTAAATAGACTAGCCATCTGGTTTTTTGTTGTTGTTGTTGTTGTTGTTCTGGTTTTTTTGTTTTGTGTATTTGTTTTTCAAGACAGAGCTTCTCTGTGTAGCATTAGCTGTCCTGGAACTTGATCTATAGACCAGCAGACCAGCTAGATATGATCCAGGCTAGACCGGCTGACCTCAGTCTCACAGGGATATGCCTGCCTCTGCCTCCTGAGTGCTGAGATTAAAGGCTTGTGCCACCACTGCCCCACAACCATCTTTTCTTTCTTTTTTTTTATTTATTGTGCATAGTGTTCTGTCTGCATATACACCTGCAGGCCAGAAGAGGGCACTGGATCTCATTACAGATGGTTGCAAGCCACCCTGTGGTTGCTGGGAATTGAACTCAGGACCTTCGGAAGAGCAGCCACTCTTAACCACTGAGCCACGTCTCTAGCCCAGCAACCATCTGTTCTAATCATCCACACCCATCACCAAGTTCCCATGTACTTGGCACAGTATTTTACACCAAGGTTTTCACTGAATTTGGAGAAATAAGTAATGTTACAGGACTTATTTATTTATGTAGGATTTGTTTCATGTGAAGTCCTAACCTACAAGTAAGTGCCTCCAATGCTGACAATATTTGGAAACATGGCCACTGCAGATGAAGTTAAAATGAGATCATTAGGTTGGCCCTCGTCCAATATGACTGGTATCCTTCAAGGAAGAGGATAATGGAGTGCGTGGAGGCGGGCCTATGTGAAGACATGGGCACCCACAAATGAGTTAAAGAGAAAGGTGTCGGAATGAAGCCAACACTACCAACACTGGGATCTTGATTTAAGACTCTGGTACCATGAGGAAAATAAATTCCGGTTGTTTAAGCTAGCCAGCATATGGTGTTTTGTTACGGCAATCTAAGAAAACCAGTACGAGACAAAAACCTAAGATCAAGAAGTTAAAAAGCCTGGCGCGTTTGGCCGTTCAAACCAGAAAGCTACAGACACGCTGGTCCTCAAATATTTTTTTTAGAGATAAGGAGAAGGCTGGGCTGCCTTTGCGCAGGTAGAGCGTTGGTGTAGCATCCACAGGGGCCTGGGTTTGGTTCCCAGCACTCCACAAACTGTCCATGGTAGCTCACTGACGTAATTTCAGCACTTGGGAAGGAGAATCAGAAGTTGAAGACCATCCTCAGCTACTAATGAGTTCAAGGCCAGCCTGGGCTAAGTGATTGCAGGCCCTGTATCATTAAAAAAGAAAGAAAGAAAGAAAGAAAGAAAGAAAGAAAGAAAGAAAGAAA